TTTTTTTAGATTTATTATTTCCCATTTTTTATACTCTGGTTGCACATAACATACATCGTTTGCATAGATTTGTTTCTCGATGTGTTTTTTTTTTAATAGGAATTTCATTTTCACTTTATTCGCCCTTCATTCATTTTGCATTCGTCTCATAGGCGAACGGTCTCTATTTGAAGATCAAATTTGCTTACGCGGCTCACGTTGTCTAAAAATTCTTGATCCACCCCGATCAATTGCGGGAACGTCTGTTCGGCAATTCGATGACGACCTAAACGGCGATATGCGGTTTCACGGCACTCTCTGCGTTTGATGCCACCTGACTGTAATTCCTGTCGAGCATTATCCGCGCTCCCGGAGCGTCCGGTATTTCTGCGGTGTGTCTGCGTGTACATACGCGTCGCTCCAGGACGCGCCGTGCGTGTAGATTCGCGCGCACAATGTCCACCTGGTCGCAACGTACAATCCGATACGTGTGTGTATGCGCGTATATGCATACACCCCTCTACGTACGTGTACGCGGTATGTGAAATGCCACATACGGAATATTTACCAGGACCCACCTCAGATGTTTGGACCCCTCGGGGCGACGTATCGCGAGATCTGCCTCGTATAATGGCAAACTCGAATTAATCCTTCAGGAAAGAGCGAGGCTTGACTCTGGTCTCTCATATTCATCAGTGACAGAGATTGCGGTTAATACTTGCTTTTGGGAAAAGAGCTGAATGCATTTCTCTTATAAAGGAAAAACACGATTTGATTCTATCTTTTGTTGTTCGCTATCCGGAGACATTACTTAATGTTTTACTTAATGTGTTACTTAATGCGAGACCGATGAGGCTTGCTTTTCTGGTAATTCTTTAATTATGAGTTTAATTAAGAGACGGTGAGATTTCTCATTACTGTAATAACGAGTACAACAATAAAATAGAAGAAATAAAATGTCGCTAACGGGGAAAAAAATAATTAAGATATTATCTAACAAGTTTTTCCAAAAAGCAGATTGCTATTTAGATTAAACGTTCGCAATTTGTCTCTAATTATTCGATTATTCCAACGTCTACTGGAAGACTGCAATGAGTTAATAGTTCTCTGTAAAGCTAATTATCATGGGATCGCTAATTATCACGTACGCTGTTGAAGAACTGAATAACCTAGAGGCAGTCTAAAATCGTTAAACAACCAAAAAATGCAAAGTACAAAATAAAATATTCGCTTTTAAACATTATCATATCTGTGCATTATAAATTCTCAACCGACTTAATAATCCGACCATAATAAATAACAGCCATCAATAAATCATTTTGATATCAATAAATTTTGCAACAACAATCCCAATATTTTTTAATCGGACATAATAATTGACAATTAATTCAAATATATATTTTAATAACGAGCATTCGACTACGCGAGAATACGAGTGATAAATGATAATCAATAATAATTTATAATAAAAATAACAATTAAATTTTACGTATTAATTTCTCGTAATGTATCCCGGAGTAATAACATTCGTGACAACATTCGTAGCTCGTGTCGATTGCAATATCTCGCAGACCTCAGTCATCTTTTTAGGTTGCTTCGCGTGGATATTGCATTTTGCTATTTTATTATTTCAGTATTTTTATTCGCGACGGAAACGCATTTATATCGCAGCGGTGGTTTCACTCTCGAGGTTACCTGACGGAAACGTGTGCCTTTCCTATCGTACGCACCGCGGGGGTTTTCGATTCCTCTGGCTCTCTCATCACGCAGGTTACCCTGCGATCGATGCCCTCCGAGAGGGAAAACGTCAAATTCACAATGCGGCATGACTCAGCTGAACGATTCATGCATAATTTATCCGGACTTAATTAGTCAGAGGTCAGAGAGAAAGACAGAGGGAGAGGGAGAGGGGGAGAGAGAGAGAGAGAGAGAGAGAGAGAGCGAACTGAAAAAATGCACAATTCCACAAATATGTGCGCATTCGTAGCATTTTAAACATTATAACTTCTGTGCGTTATAAATTTGCGACTAACTGTAATAATCAAACATAAATAACAATCGTAAATAAATTTTGCAACGGCAATCCCAATATTTTTTAATTAGAACTAATAATCGATAATTAAATCCATCGCTGTTAAGTAAATCTCATATAAATTTGTGTAAATGATTTAGCCTCTCTCTCCGCTTGTTATGTAGATTACGTGCGTTAATAGTTTCCCTGTCTTCCTCGATTTCTCTCTGTTCGATTAGAATGAATGCGTAACGACCGGGAATGACTTTAACAAGGAAACTTTCGCAACTGTCTCTCTTGGAGTTCATGGAGCTCCAAGTGTATATCGTGAAGTAGCTTGCGACGAGAGACGTGCACTTTCTTCTTCGCTTACTATATAGTACAATCTTAGAGGTTGAAACTAAGGGCGAAACTATAAATGAACGTTTGAGACAGAAGTTTCACATTGAAAGCGCTTTGTAATATTATACATTTAGATTTTTCAAGTAAATTGTAAATTGTAAGAAAGTCTTAATTTTCCTCCGGAACTATTCGTGAAATTTACATCTACTCATGAAAGAACAAAAATTTCAAATTAACTTTATGAAAAGAGCTGTTTCAGTTGCAAGAATATCCATTAAAATTCACATTTTTTTCTAACTAAAATTGTATTAAATTAGATTAAAAAGTCGTAAAAGGAACAATTGAAAGAAATAGTTGTAAAAGTTTCGTTATAAAATTATGCATTTTAAGATTTTACTTCCGAAAGTTGTATGTATTGTAGCAAGATGTATTTTCCAATTCTTACAGTAGGAAATCATTTCCGTTTACGTATTCAGTAAGTAGTCAATGCAGAATTTTTTGCCAGCCGCTTTCCAAAGATTCTCGAACAAACACGCGACCCAAAAGGAATTCGTTCCCATCGATGGGAAGATAATCTGTAGACAATCCGTCGACATTGCCACGCGTGTTTCAGCTGAGATTTCAGCGGAGATTTGTATAGTTAAATTGAAGTTAAAATTTGCGAATTTATTTCAATGTAAGGGATAAATGGAACAATTCTCATTTAGACTTTTACTACTATAATTTAAGATATAAAAAATTAATTAAAAATTATAAAAATTATTATAAAATTAGAAAAATGAGAAAAATTATTATAAAATGGTAAATAATATTAATAATGCCAATTTTTATTCCTTTTCTTAAAAAATAAATTTTTCAAATTTTGTCTACAATTCAATTATACAAATCATGTATTCCTCCTTAAAGCCGAGTTACTTTTAATTGAGAGCACTCTCGAGAGAGACTTTTAATCGAAGCTTACGTTCTCGAACGACACTGCGAGCTCGTATACCAGCTGCGTGTGCATTCGGTCGATCTTGAACACAGAATTGCGATAGGTATACGAGTATACAGCGTTTGATGTACGGTGCGATGTAAATTTCTAGATATAGAGGTCGATATCGCTCGTATGGCACAAACTGTTTTTATAGCGTTCTCTCGTGAGAGCCAAAGGCAAAGTTTCCATGCGAGTGTAACTTCGATTTTTAGAGATGTTCTATTCCGCGGACGTATACCGGCCTCGCGTAACAGCTGTAACATATATGTAATAAGACCAGATTGTCCTGCTTTTGAGATGATTGTTTCGCTGTTTCGTAAAATATATAAAAAAAAATATATATATATATAATGTTGTATTATTTCTTAAAAATAAATTACTATTATTGTATTTGTCTTTATATCCATTTATTCTCTCAACATAAAATTATCTCGCTTTGGATTAAAAAATATCTAATTTCTTTACTGATTGTAAAAACAAATAAAGAATAAATTTGACGGTATGTAAAGATTACAGAGCAATCTAAAGAAAATTAAAAATATATATAAAAAATGATAACTGTATGAAATTATTAAGTCTGTCGAAAATTTCTTGTCGATTCGACGGAGCAGCAAAGACTTGCGATAAATACATCGTCTTTTTACATTATATTGTTATTGTATGTGTACGAAGAAATAATAACACTGAGCATATATCATTTACGCGTATCGCTTTCGTACCAGTTTGATCGTCAAGCTTTATTAAACTGGAGCTGTATCATTTCCACGATCACTGATTTATTCGCCGATCGCGTTTCTCAGTATTAGGATCAGTTACCGCGTGCATGCTTATCGTGCTAGGATTCGCGTCGAGTTTCATATAGTTGTATAGTCGGATGATTCATTATGCCGATGAGAAAATAAAGAATAACGGCACGCAAATGCGAAAGATACCCAAGCGAATCTTAAATCACGTAGGTTCGTTTTTTTTTAACGCGAAGGTTGCTTTTCCTTTTCGGAGAAAACGAGCTTTTCGAGCTTCTCTTTTTTTTTTTTGCGATATCTTGTCGAAGTGTAAGTAATCGTCCGGAAAAGACATATCGATTTCCGACCTTTCAATCATTCGCAAACATTTTCAATATTATTATACACTTATCCGAACGCGAGCCGTTCCTGCTTTGATTACTTTTCAACTAGATTCTAATTAATTTAGATTTAATTCTAATGGTACAGTGTCTTTAGAATTAACGCATCTAAAATTAACTTATGGTGTTATTAAATTATGGTGTTTTTAAATTATAATTTCATTTTTATAACGCTAAAATGGGATTGGAAAAATAAAGAATATGGTAGAAATTGTGTAAGTTAAAAATAAGAGTTAATAGATGTAATAAAAAGAATAAATGATTCAAGTAGAGACAATAATTTTAATAGGCAGACAATAAGGCGATCTATTTTAACGTAATCGCATTTCTCTACAATGCCCCTATTGTCATTTGTATTAAAAGGGATCACTTGAGCAGCAATTTACTTGGAGAGAGGCGTTTTAATATCCTAAAGTAACTTGTTAAGAAGATCGTCAGATAAGTAGAATGACAAATCGCTCATCGCACCATTTTCTATTTGCAGCTTCGACGAGACGTCGATGGACAGCTGCATATTGGCTACTATCGACGAGGGCCGCCGAGTCAGTGACTTATCGGGCGAGTCGATGAAGGACAGTAACGAGGTGGAAGTGACGTCATTGGAGGAAGCCAAGTCGGTCATAGCGGCACTCAGAGCGAGACAGCGGGCACAAGCCCACCAAATGCTCGCTTGGCGAAGAACCCTTAAATTGCAGGTAAGTTTCAATTACCAGGAAGGATTTCTACATGCAAAGGCAATCCCACAGTCTTGCAGTCTTCGATGAGGGAATCAGTCGGGAGGAAGGCAAGACGATCGATCAAAGCTATTACCTCTGAAAACCATAAAACACGCTCAGCCCACGGACTGATGTTACAGACAGTGAAATATTAGATACATGATGATCCATTTAGGCGCGAAGAGAGTACATATTTTTGTCGCTTTACGAAGCGAACGAATAAATATTTAAAACCAATGTTGCATGCTTACACAGACATACTGTAATTGGAAAATATCCATTAAGTCAAGGCTCAAATTGATTGGAACAAAAAACAAGCCTTTCATCAGATAGTTTGTTAAACAAAGTTCAACTGCAGTTTAACTTTTGCTAGAAATATCCTTTGTCTTTAAGTATTTTCGTAAGGTTTTTGATGAAAAATCTGAATTATAATTTTCCGTCCGATCATGAAATACATTTTGGCCTTGGACATTCTATCCAATTCATGTCCAATTTGAGCTCCGGAGCTAAAACACAAAGCTATTGACGCAAAGAAATCAATATTCCGGAGACTGTAAAGCGTGGATATGAGTTCGAGCGAGTGCCTATCAACACTTTACAGTCCATGAAATCTTACTCACATTGAATTTTTCGCGTCGATTTTATTCCGCGTTTTGGCACTGGAGCTCAAATTGGACAGGTCTGCGTCTTAGACCTATAATGATGCCAACGGGAAAGATAAATTTCAGCAGGTAAGCGAAACGGCATGCTGCCGTCACGAGTCATTGCTGTAAAGAGATTTCCGAGCATTTCTGGGATAAGCCCGGAGGAGCGTCTCGTGACATCCTACGATTTCGCGTCTGACTTTGCGTGACTAGAGGTAATTCTCGGTTTGCGAGGGTAGACCCCGCGAGAAAAAAAAGGGCTCCCACTAAATTTGCTGGCAATCTGCGAAGGAATAATTGCTACAAAATGATCTTCTTTCTCCCTTAGCCGGGAAAAATACCAGCGGGACGGCTAGTTTATCAAATAACAACTTTTCCATATACTTTCATCGAATTTAAATGGAGAAATGTTAATACTTGATGAGAGTTCATTTCGATAGTAAAAGACAATTTTTCGTGATATGCCTATGCGCAGATATGTTACGGAATCCGAGCTTTAAAAGAAAGAACTTTCGAATAAAACTTTCCATTTTTGATAATCATCTATTTCATTTTTGTACGTTTTCTATTTCTTTTTGTAAAAATTTATTTTTCTTTAATGTGCTAATCAGTGAAAATAGAGAAACGTGTATTCTAAATCGGAAAAAAGAAAAAGACAAGTATGAGCCTCATGACTAAGATTTTTCATATTTAATATACATATTGTCACATCAACTTGATATATTTATTGCTACATAAAACAATATTTCCTGTCTCTTCGTAATTACGAAAAATTTAAATTTTTAGGACCGTAGCACAGATTTTTGCATAACATGTAAAAATGAGGGATTCTGATTGATCCTCTCTCGAATTCTCTTATGCGTTACGCAAAAGTCACCTGTGTTGCGGCCTTTATTTTTTTTTTTATGAAAATATGAATAATGATACTCTACGTGAATTTTTAATTATTTTTCATTACACGTTGTTTATAAAATAAAACGATAATTAAAATTTTTTTTTCATTTGTCTTTAATTTAAAGTACATTAATACGGACGATTATTACCTTAAAACTGACCATAGAAATGGATTGATTTACATTTTGATATACACGTAGAAATAAAATAACAAAATATTATTTAACTCCAGAGATTGGATTACCATTGCTCCTTTGATATATAATAGCAATAAAAGAAATGTCTTCTTACTTCCCTTTCCTGAATGCAGAATGGTGCCTATTAATCGGTCGTTCACATGATCCGTCTATCGGTCAAACGTGTCAATTATTTTCCGCGTCTGTCTTCAAAGTGCGTGACACGCACCGGCGATAGCACCTGGTCGTCTTGCGATACTGTTTATATTGCACACAATAGCGAAAGTAATGGACTCATCCTCTACGCGTGCGGGAGGACGGAAGGAAGGAGACGTGAGCAATGCTCATGCAAAGCGGTCGGCTATGTACGACGTGTAGGTATACCGTACATCGTTCAGTGCAAACATGCAGCTTCACGCACGTATCTGACGCGTACGGAGGAAACGCGTGCAGCGGAACGGCACGTATCTGCCGTTCACGCATACTGATAACGTGCTTCGCGTAAAGCAAGTGGACTCGAGAGATGTTTGCACAAATACGCATGAATCGGTGCGCGGTGTTTGATAAAAAAAAAAAAAAAAGAAAGAAAAAAAAGTACGATTTCAACACTATATCTCGTCCTAATGAGCGATATCCATTCGAACGGTGTTTACCGGTAAACGAGATGAGAGGACCGGGGAAATCAATTAACGGCGCTAAACAAATATTAATAATAATGGCAGCGAGAGATCGATTTTGATTAATTACTTAATGTTGAAAGTAAATGGCGAAATGCCGGTTGGTTTCGCAGCCGCACGAATTCGCGCCGTTATTAATTATCATACATGAATTATCAGGTGAAGAGCCCGCAGTTTATCGTACCCGCGAATTAATGGGAAATTAACGCTATTGACTCGTCTTCAATTTTGTAATCGTGACGTTTTTCGCAGGAGGACCTGGTGGCTCGATTGACGCGGGAAAAAGCTGAGCAGCTGCGGACGTTGTCGTCGCAACTTCTGCTGTTCGAGTCAAGGCTCTGCAGGAAGCAGAAGGAAATCGAAGCCAGTCTGAGTCAGCGAGAATCCATTATTTTACGACAACAAAGGGTGATCCGGCAGTTGCAGAACAGATTGGCGGAGAGGAGCACGAGCACTCGGGACTCGCCACCTTGCGACGCCCTGGACAGATTAGACAGTCTCGGGGATAGCGACAGCGCCGTGGTGCTCGAGGAAACCGCGGACGATCCTGCCCCACCAAGGTGAATATTTTTCAAACAGATTTACACATACGTCACCTGCACCGTCTATGAAATTAAGAGAGCTTTTATTGCAATAATAGAATATAAGGACATATGAAAAGTAAGAATGAGAAGTGCACTGGAAAAAAATAATGTTGTATCAACAGCATTATTTTAATTGAAAATAATCTTGAGCGCGAGCGTGGTATGACGGACAGCGCACTGGTCTATCATGCCAGAGATCCCAATAGGACCATTGGGTTCGATCCCAAGAGGAACCAAAATATTTACGCTCGTGCCTCCTCTCGGACAAGGCCGGCAACCTCCCGAGAGTATCCTTGTCCACAGAAACACTCTCGAAAAATCCGCCGTTCGGAATCGGCATTAAAACTGTAGGTCTCATATGCTTAGCAATTGAATAATCAGCGTGCGCATAAGCATATGAGAAAGTTGTCTAACGTAAGAAGAAAAAGAAGCAGAAGAAACAGAAAAAGAAGATAATCTTATTGATTTATGACAACAGAGTATTAATGAATATAAAGATACGAAGGACACATAAGAGTCAAATGAACGATTAAGAGTGTAGAAAGACAAATTATAAAATATATTTAGTTGTATAAATTCAAAATTTACAGAAAAATATATTACCAAAATATACTACAAAAAATATATTAAAGGAAATTGTGTTAAAAAATATATAATTGTATTTAAAGCAAATAGCAATATCTTCTAAACGAAATGCTCACCCAATGATCGCAAACTTTCTGCATAATAATAACCTCGTCAAAACATATGGGTGTTTTGCTTAGCGGATGTTTATTGCTTGCTTTAAATATAATTCTATATTTTTTAACACAATTTCCTTTCTCTAGAATATCGAGAGATTACAAACATTCAGTCTTCAGACAAACCGTAGTAGTTGCAAGCAATTTTCTCCGATTCTTTGCGAGGCATTCATTGGTTCGCTACTATTTATGTTAATACAGTATTTTCTTTCTATATCACTATAATTATACTCAGGTAATATCGTGATTACGTTTTTGTATTAATTACCTGAAGATGACTCAATGGAGAAACAAGCGTAATATATATATTTTTGTAATTTTTGAATTTACACAATTGAATATATTTTATATTTTGTCTTTCTACGCTCTTAATTGTTCATTTGATTCTTATGTGCCCTTCATATCTTTGTATTGTTTTAAAAAATTAAGAGTCCTAATATTTCTTGTTATTTGAATATTACTGAAACAAAATTTTACTAAAATAAGAGCATAACATATTTGTTTTATTATATTAATGATGTCATTGAATTAATAAAATTATTTTTAAAATAATGCTACATTGTTTTCAGTATGCAAAAGCAAAAATATAAACAAGATTTAAACATGCTGAAAGCATCTTATTTCATAATTTGAATTTCTTTGGAAAAATATCGTTTTCAATGTGATTGCGACCAATACAGACTGCGTTGGAATGACATTAAGAGAATAATGATAAATACTTTTAAAAATACTTATTTATGCCGGTATGTAATAATTATATTGAAATACATTCAAAATTTCTATGATAAAGTAGCAATGTATCTTAAGTTCACTTTAATTTTTGATTTACGATAAAATGCGAAACTATAACTATTTGTTATCTTATAAGTAAGGAAAAACATTTTTAACGAAAATTACTTAAAAAAATCACAGTTTATATCTAATATACAAATCAAAATATTAACAGATATGTACACATAAAATACATAAAGCTCTATAAATAGAATTTTCCCAAATTCTCTTACAAAATATATCTATAATTGATTTTATATATATTCTAATTGTAATCCACAGATTTCGTTCTAACATTACTGATGTAACTGTGATCCGTTCCGTGTCCGATGCGGTGGAACCGTCGAACAAGTATTCGTCGATGCGACGTTGCAATGGTTTTCTCAGAAGACCGGAGATTCTGGAAACCGTGTATTCCGTGGAGGAAGACGGTGACAGCGAAAATAATCAGGATCCGTCGGAATCGACAGAGAATTCGGAATACGAAGACAGGAGAATGAAAAACTTAGGCAACGGAAAGGGCAGGCTTCAGGATCTCTACGGCAGTTTCGAAAGGTTGGCTCAAGATACAGATTCTCCACCCAGCGAAAGACCTAGAGACGAAAGCCAACAGGCGCAGGTAACAGAAACTATTTGAAATCTTATCGGCGTATAAGAGAATTCGATTTATTAGAAAATATTTGTGAAATACTCGATTATTGAAATAAAATCCTAATGAAAAAAAGTAATACAAGATTTACATAAACTTAGAACGTAATGCAAATTACACTCTAATTTAAAATATATTCTTCATTTAGATTTTCCTCATGTTTAACTTTAAAATCCACGCTAATATGTGTAAATTAATATTTCCATAAGAAATCTATTTATCCTTTCAGGTGACATACAATAGGGTAATGAGCAATCACAGATCCGTGACGAAGCCAAAAGATGTGAAGTACAAGAGGATAAATAAGGCAAAATCGAAAAGTCTTGAAGAACTTAGAGGACGTCTTAGAAATTGGGTCGAGAAAGGAAATAAAATAGCTATATCGTTGGATCAGTCATATGCTTGAGCTTACTATCCTTATATATGAAAGTATATAAATTATTATTTTATGAACGAAAACGTGTAATGCCCAAAATTATAATTCTATTTGTAAGATTAAGGAATGGACTTTTATCTTTAGTAAAGTCGCTACTCTATTTAATTGAAATATCATCGCTCCATGTGATATTTACTGTAATATTTTGTCATGTTAATTATGCACCTAGATCAAAGATAAATGATTCGAAACTTGTGATATGATTTTATTATATACAAAAGCGCGTAGTTAAGAAGAATTTATTATCTGGCGAAGAAATAAGTAACTCTTAAGTATTATAATAAAAATTTATAACAAATATTGTATATAGTTTCCATCTGTTTTTATTTATGTTATAACAAATTCTTCAAGTATTGTTACGATTAAATATTTATCAATAGCATTCTTATATCATTTTTTCAAAGTTAAAGATAGCAATAAAAAATCTAAAAAGCAATATCAAATATATTAAAAGCGTGAAAAGTAAATATAATCTACTAAGATTCAAAACAGATTTGCGATTCATTTATATTATGATACTTAAGAGTTAACATAAATTCGAAACGTAACATGCGTCTGTGAATATGCGCATGAATATTTTTGACTCTTCTTTCATTAATAATAAATATTAACTTGTGTGACTATGTTCTGAATGTGTACGAAAAAAACTTTAAGCGGCCTAAATATTGATGAACTACAAATATAATAATAAGTGTACATCTTTGAGCATTAAGAAAGTTCACTATTAACATGAAAATGTTAAACATCACGCACGTTTTTCTGCACATACCCAATTATGTCAAAATAAGATATTTTTTTACTATTAAATACTACTTATTATAATTATCCTCAGTTCAGAAAGATATATTATATCATGTTTTACTGTAGAAAATTTAGAATTAAATTCTTCCTATAACTTGAAATAACTTAGAAATTATACCGATTTCTCTATTAAACAGAGGCATATATTGAGAACGAATTTTTAAAAGATTTTTTTTTAATTAAAAAGTTTCTTTTTTAAAAGTCACATCAAATATATATTTAAGAAAAAATATAAACTAAATGCTCTTGATAATCCACTCAAATATTATTATTTATGTGCCTATCTTTCTATAAACAAATATTGAGGACATTGTATTCTTAATACATGTATATAAAAATCATTATCTTGATGTTTACTTAAGAATTTTAAGAATTTAAAAAATGATAATCACATCAGAAAATCTTAAGAATTTTAAAAATGATAATCACATCATCTGAAGCAAAATATATTAGATATTTTTGATTAAATCTTTTTACATAAAAATTGAAAATTTCTATTTAATGCATCGTATTGATCCAAAGAATCTGTATTCATAATTAAAATCCAATTGCTTAATTGTTAAAAACTCTTATAATTATATTGTCTTACTTTAAACATTTTCGATAAACTAAACAACAAAATATTTTTTAAAAATTGAAAATTGGAATGAGCAAAATTTGCTGTGCTCCTACACATTAAATTAAAGTTTTATAAAATTTAGGTATATTTTATTGTATATATAAAATTCTGAAGCTACACGTACTTTTATATTGAGTATAAACTCGTGCTGCAATTATGTACATCGTATATGGCAGCGTTTTATAAAGAAAACATGTCTTCGTAATCGCACTGTTTATAATGATATTTTTACATGCACATGCATTTTGCCGTTCTTCTCATAAAATAGAAAAATACGCTCGAAAATTATTGTTTTGATACAAATTGCTTGTGATGCAATTTCTCTCCATTTTGAATGCATCTATTCATCTTTCATTATCGTGTTTTCAAGCAGATGGGTATAAGAAAGCTACTGACAATCCGTATTTTTGCAAGCCTAAAGAAAAAGAAGAAACAAGCGAATGCCTCTGGCAGTACCTTTGTAAATAATTGAAAACATGGACATAACGTTCATACTAGATATAGATTCTGCGATAGTTATATATATTATGTAGATAGACTTATTATATATATTGAAATAATAAATTTTAATATTATTGTATTTTGAGTTTAATGTTCCTGTGGACTGAGCAACAGTCACCGAGAGATCTCGTGCATAGTATATTTGCACGCGCTTATAAATGCATATGCATATAAAAAATATGGATATATATATATATATATATAAATATATAAATAAAGTATATATATATGTCGAGATATTGTAGTATAATATGATGAGTCTACTTAGAATGATGTAAAAAAATAAAATTTTTGAGGTGCATAAGCAAACCATGTGAAATTAAGAATCACATTGGCTAATCATAATCCGAGTATACACGTGCAATGGCGCTTCAGTACAGAAAAAAATTAATAATTATTTTAATTTATATAAACTCGTATAACGTGTATGCCGTCGCTTTACTAGGAAATGAGTAGACTGCTATTGATATTCTGTGTTACGTAATTATTTTAATTATTATTAGATCCCAAATAAATTATGTCAATGGAAGACGCCGATAGTGTATTTATTATTATTCCTATGTTTTCCAGTTATTTCCCATTATATTAAATGTTTTAAATCGCATAATATATAATATATATTATATAATACAAATCTCACTTCTTACGAAGAATATTTGAAACTAGTAATGAGACGCTATTAAAGATTTTATATATGGCTTTATATGATTTATTTAGTAGTATTTAATTCATTTGATAGTGAGTGCAATTTTATCGAAAAAAAGGAGCTTAAATATTTAATAGCATATTATTATTTTTTATACACATACACATGTGTAAATGTGCATTGCTTATGAGAAGAAATACAATATTATCAGTGCGGCAATTCAAAAATTATTTTAACAAGAATGATTTTTTTTGTTTTATACATACCTGATAAGATAACTGTACATTTGACATAATTTACATTTCTGTTATATTTAAGAAAATAATAGTATGAGGTATGAGAAGAATTTCGATCGATTTTCGAAATAATTTGCTGATACTTATACGATATATAATATATCTATTGATTCTATGTATAATACATTATACATACACATATACATATATATAAAATGTGCGTGTGTCTAATTTTTTTAACGCTACGGGGGGATTATGGCTATAAAAATAATTTTTCTTTAACGATACTAGATGTTTTCGCAATAATTCATGTGTAAAATTAAAATTGCACTTCTGTCGATTCTGCAAAATCTTATATTAATCGTTACTTTTATTTTGTTCATTTTGTACATTATATTTTATCGCCTATGTTAAATCAATTTTTTTG